CACACACACACACACACACACACACACACACACACACACACACACACCCCGATGAATAATTACATAAAATCTTAAAAAATACATTCATTATTAATTTAAAAGTCATTTAACTGAATGTTGTCCACACTGTCTTCTGTTTTTTCTTTATTCTTATGTAGCTTATGGCAATAGCAAGACAATGTTAGCCTTAATAGTGAAACTGTCTTCATGTGTAAGCTTTAAAAATTGTAGCTGCATCAAATTATAGGGAAGCTTTTAAATCCTAAGATAGTTTGTTCTTTAGGGTGTTCTTACAGGATTTCTTTATTTTATGTATAAGTGCTCTGCTGCATGTACACCTAAATGCCAGAAGAGGGCATCAGATCCCTTTACTGATGGTCATGAACCACCATGTGGTTGCTGGAATTGAACTCAGAACCTCTGGAAGAGCAGCCAGTGCTATTAACCACCGAGCCATCTTTCTAGCCCACAGGATTTCTTAATAAGGGATAATTTCTTCAGAAAATATTCTGTTACATTTTTACCTTTGAAATCTTGCTTTATATCTTACCAGAGTGTTTGTTTAACATTATTTTAAAAGAAGAAGAGAGGGATGGAAGGACACACACACACACACACTCACCCACATGGCACAGGCTGAGGGCACTTTTGAAGATACATTTGAGTTCTGTGTGTCTGAATAGAAAAATTAAATCACTGTATTTCTTTAGATGTCAAACATTTCTGACTCTTGGTCAATTCTAAAACCTGTCTGTTTTCCAGAATCAACAATGTTTTGGGTAAAAATTTCATCCCACTTCTGGAGTTTCATGACTCTAAGTGCTCAGTCCTCGCTTTGCTGGGTGAAGCGAAGGCCAAGTTGGATGTTTGGAACGGCGCCTGTGGGAGCAAGGAGTCTGTGGAAATCCTACTGGAAGACTGGCATGTGAGTTTCTGCGGCCTGGGCCTGCGCATCGGCTTCCTGCTTTCTGCTTCTGGTTTAGCTCAGGAATTCTCCGTCTGGTTTGGGTGTTTGTTGGTAGGGCTCGTTAGCTTCAGTTTCCCTGGAGAAAACCATCAGTGGTGGCCAAATAGCAGCTAGAATAAGAAGATGAGGATTGTAGTAGTCAAGATGGAGTTAGGATAGTTAAGGCCTCAAAGAAGGTTCCGCTGTGGTCCTTCCCTGTTACAGGGTTTTGCTTACATTTTTTTCTTCCTTTTTCAACTTATGCTTTTATTCAACGGTTCTCTTTTCTTTGAAAACTTTGGTCTTAGCCCCAAAGCTTATTATTATTTTATTATATAAAATAAAGCTTAGCGTTATTTTGAAATTTTAAAAATACAGTTCCAGTTACTTTGATTCATTGGTGCATGCCACGGATGCATGTGGCGGTCAGATGACATCCTGTAGGAGTCAGTTCTCTCTATCATGTGGGTCCCAGGGATCGAACTCAGTCCTTCAGGCTTGGTGGCAAGTGCCTCATGCACGGTGACGCCATCTTTCTGTCCTTTGACCAAATTTGAATAGGACATGGTTTAAATGCTTCAAAGAAAAACATGTTACAAGCATAGGTGTGTCCATGCAGAAATTCAGATGGAAGCCCCACGGGGCACCTTCTTTGCTGCCTTTTTTATTGTTACTGCTTTTAATCTTCTTTCTCCCTCCCAACTTCCCCCCCCCCCTTTCCTTTTGGGAATGGAGGGTGAGGAAACTTGAAAAACTCAAAATTATAAGTTTCAGAGGAAAATGGAAAAGGATGATGAAGACATACATATTTGTTTATAATTTATTATTTAAATACTATATTATTTAAATACTATGCACTTCAGATTGGAGACATGATTCTAAACTGGGCTAGGTTTTATTTATATATAAAATATGTAGTGTAATATTACATATAATTTTTTGCCTCCTCTGAAGTTTTATTTTTTTTCTGGGCTTTTGTTTGTTAATTTGTATTTTGAGATAGGGTCTTCTATAATGACGTTGGTCTCGAACTCCTGATCCTCCTGCCTCTACCTTATAAGTGCTACATTACAGGATTATGCCATCATGCTTAGCTTTGGATTTACATCTCACTAGTTAGTAATCGTAGTAGTTAGCTAGTACAAAATAAGAATATAATCAGTGGTTCTTAAGGCTCCTAATGTTGTAACACTTTAATACAGTTCCTTATGTTTGGTGACCCCCCATCATAAAATTATTTTTGCTGCCACTTCATAACTATAATTTTGCTGCTGTTATGAATTGTAATGTAAATATCTATGTGCTCTTGCATCTCCTAAGTCCTAGTCACCTTTCAGGAACCATTCCTTCCACTTACCATGCAACCCACAGGTTGGGAACTGCTAGGATAATAAGCCGGGAGTTTAGAGTCAGCTCTGAGTTAGCCCCGTGGTTTTCTGTAGCTGACTTAATTAATGGTCGTTTTACAGACATCTTTGTGCAGGTGGGGATAGCTCCTGAAAAAGTAACCTGATGTAACAGATGAAGACTTACTAATTAGTGTGAATAAGGGGGCTGGAGAGATGGCTCAGTGGTTAAGAGCACTGACTGCTCTTACAGAGGTCCTGAGTTCAAATCCCAGCAACCACATGGTGGCTCACAACCATCCGTAATGAGATTGGATGCCCTCTTCTGGTGTATCTGAAGACAGCTACAGTGTACTCATCAATAAACTAAATAAATAAATATAAAAAAAATTAATGTGAATAAGGCCTGTGAAACAAAAGCAACTGATACAGTTACACAATGTTACTAAGATAGGTGAAGTGGAAGGCTTGGATTTGCTATGAGTGATGAATGTGCCTTTTCCCAGAATCCGGAAACAGTGTAAAGTCACATGACCATGTTAAGCTAAATCTGCAGTGAGAGCCCTGTGTCACTGTGCTCTTGTATCTCCTAAGTCCAAGCCAGTCCTAGTCAGGAACCATTGCTTCCGTTTCTGCTACTGCAGCGTGGTGGTGTTGGCGTACTCAAACACTGCTGGCAATCGTGCCCTTTACTGACAGCACATACTGACACCTGGATTTCTTGGCACATTTTCAAAAGTAAAACCTGTCAATATTGTTTCCTCTCCTTCACAGAGATTTACTGGAGAGAAAAAGTTCCTAGCTCGACTTGAAACTTCTTTTCGAAAATGTGAAGAAATGTACAAGAACTTGGGTAAAGTATCCTAGTTGCTTTTTAACGGGACAGCTGTCATTTCAAGATGACATTTGTTTTACTTTAATGGTTTGGCCATTAACTGTTTTCATGCATATTTTCCTTGGAAGAATCTTTCTTTTGCTTTTAATATTATTAGGGAACATGCCTGTTTGTCGGTTAGTGCAAATAATTTTCTTAATATTATTTACATACAAAAACTGTTTTGTAAGACTTGTTCTTTTTGTTTGTTTTGCTGATGTAGCCAGAGAGTGTGAGAGTATTAAAGAGGAGTATATGATGCTGGAAAAGAATATCCACACGTGCAAACAATCCATCCATAACATGAAGGCGACCCTTCAAAGAGTACTGGCGTGTTGGGCAACTTTTGAGGAAGACCTTTCCCTACTAAAGACTTCGTTTGAGGTGACAAAGAAGGAACAAATTAAAGAGGTATTTGAAGGCAATGGTTCTGTCCCAGTTTTACATTTTACTTTTGGAGACTGACTGCATAACACTGTTCAAGTTAGGGACCTTCCTGCTTCTGCCTTCTGAGATCTGGGATTAAAGGCTTGCATTACAATGCCCAGCAAGACTTAACTTTTCTATTTCTTTTTGTTTGGAAGCCCATTTTGACTCTGAAGGTTGAATATCAATGAAGGAGTAAACATATCTTCTAGAAAATTCAAGATCTTGGGAAGAAATTAGTTTTTTTTTCCAAATGTAATTGTCAGAGAGTATTTTCTTCACATTGTGTATACACACACACACACACACACACACACACACACACATTTACATAAATAATACAGCTTTTAGAAAACTCATCACTCTACTATATGATCTAGGCTGTCTTCAGAGTCAAGGCTCTCCTGTTGTCATGGAACTTCCTTACCGATAGGATTACAGGCATGTACTACCATGCCTACCTAAATCACTGGTTTTGTTTTTGTTTTGTTTTTTTTTTTGTTTGTTTGTTTTTTGTTTTTTTTTGTGTGTGTGTGTGTCTGTATTTCTCTGTGTAGCCCTGGCTCTCCTGAAACTCTCTGTAGACCAGGCTGGCCTCGAACTCAGAAATCCGCCTGCCTCTGCGTCCCAAGTGCTGGGATTAAAGGCGTGTGCCACCACCGCCTGGCATCACTGTTTTTAAGAATTATAATTTTCCATTTAGTTAAAACCTTTTACCCTTGCATCTTTCCTGAAATTCCCTCCTACAGAGGGTCCCAGACTCATTTGATCAATAGAGGCCAGTAACACCTTTGTAATGGTTTTGCTTCGTCTCTAGGCCAAGATTAATTAACATTTCCCAATTTAAGTCATCTAGTTTCCAGTTCCACCACTTAGTAGCAGCAGGGGCTCTAGGAGATAGATGCTACTGGGATAACTCCAGAGTTAAAAAGCCCTAACAAGATTCATGGCATCCTGGCAGAGGTTCGGGATTGTATGCTCAAGATGGCAACTTTTCTGAGTTATGTGTATTTTAATATCAGAGGTGTGGAAGGAATGTCAGTGTAATTATTATTTTTATATGCTAGCTAGGAAACAGTATTTGTTTCTGTCATTTGTTTCATTGTTGAAAGTGGACCAAACTAGCCTTTCACACTGAGCATTTTTCAAGTGGAGCAGAATTATTCTGTGGACAATAGGCTCTTGGTACGAAAGAAATGCAGGAGGTATAGGAGTACACTTAGAGTTAGAAAGTCCCCACGTGCGGCGCGCTGCCTCGCCGATAAGGAGAACGCCACACTCAGGATTATTCTGACAGCAATTTATTGTACAGCTCTTTAGATGGCAGTGAAGCGAGGGACGCCATGCCCGAAAAAACCTGTGGCTTATATAGAGCCCTAGGAGACACTCATTGGCTCTCACTACATCGCCAAATTAGCATACTGGTTTTCACCCCTTGCGCAGGTGCACATTCAAGCAAGGCTCTCAAGAAGAACCAGGAAGCAGGAAACCGGTGCCATGTTGCAATGGCGAACGCGGCTCCTAACATCTCCCCCTTTTTATTAAATTGCTGCAACAATTTTCCAACTGTTATTTCGCCAATCAAGCCCACCGTTCTACCAGTAAGGCGTTCAAGGCAGTTAAACAGTATTGAGACCCTCCACACTTATGTCCCGTGCAATGGGAACCCGAGCCCTGGGAAGTGTGGAGGACTACCACTCAGGATTCCTGGTGCAATGGGAACACGAGCCCTCAGGGTATCCCATTGAATGATAGTGTCTCATTGTTTAAGCATATTTAACCAAGCTTGAGGGGATGTTCCCTGCTCTGAGGCAAGCAGTGCTTGAGTGATAAGTCTATGATGTTGTTTTTTAAATTTGCAGAGCAACCAGAGTGTGATCAGCACTCCCCCAAAGATCATACAGCCAAACATTACCACCCCCATCCACTCCTTAAAAAAGGAGAAGGTGGACATGAGCCAGGAAGTGAAGTCTCTAACATCAATCGGGTTTATTCTGGTCCCATTCAAAACAGCAATCTTGAGCAGGAGTTCTTCTTGTAGCTCCTCAGCCTGTTGTGACCAATTTCCTAGAGTTGCAAAGGCTGATAAACTGGTAGCAGCCCCCGCTAAATTTGTCTTCAGGGGTTGGTGAGTCCTCTTTCACAGTTCTGGTCAGTCTGCTTGGTATCCAGATTGGATTTTCTTGATCCTGTGGAAAAACACAAACAGCTCCCCTGGATCTCACCAAAACTGGATCCGGGCCCTTCCATTGGTTAGTTAAGACATCTTTCCATTTAACATATTCTTTTTGAGGACTTGGAGCCACATGTCTGTCAGCAGCAGATTGCCCATCAGAATCCAGATTTAAAAAATTTAAGGTAAATAGGGCTAGGGAGATAGATGTCTTAGGTCCCATGTTGGGGCCTATTCCTCCCTTTTGTTTTTGTAAATAAGTTTTCAATGTGCCATTGGCACGTTCCACAATCCCTTGTGCCTGAGGATTATATTCAGTTCAGCTGAAGGGGCTTGCCCCAAGCAGCCCAGGCTTCAAGGCAGTGAGTAATAACATGTGCTAGTAGTGCCAGGTGCTCTACATTGTCTTTGTATGTGTCCCAGTTTTCCACACCTGAAACATTTAACATTAGAGGCCCTCTGAGCCGCTAAAACAGCAGCTGCCAATCCGGCATTAGATAGAGGTCCTCCTATTTCTCTACAAGCCTTCATCCATGCATTTAATCCTTTCCCTTTCCAAGGTGTAATAGCATTTCTGCATTCTCTAGTACATTGTTCAAAAATTATTAATGCCTGAGTAAAAGAGCCATTGATTCCATAAGTCTGTACCGATTCGACTAGCGTTTTTTAATTGTTTTAAATCTAGCTGTGAATGTTGTTTGGTTTGGTTAGCATCTTCCCATACGGGAAAGGCTACTCTTATCTTTTCTCTTTCCTTAGCTGTAATAAGAGAATTGGACGACAGTCTTTCCTGTCTCTCTTTTGGTTTTTTCTTTTTAACTTTACTTCCTCCAATGGTGGGGCAGATGGGGCATACCCCGGTGCATAAGGCAAATCCAGCCCGTATCTTTCAGACTCATAACGGGCTGCTTCTTTATCTAACTCTGCCTGTTCCTCAAGATCTAACACACTATCTTCTTCATCCCCCGAGGACATCTCCTCAGAGGCGAAGTCATTAATTCTTAAATTCTGAAACTCAGTTAACACAGGATATAGTTTTCTCTTAGGCTCTTCCTGTTTTTTATGTTCCTTTTTTGTAGCTACTTCTTTCTTAATTTCCTCTTTTTTCTTTTCCTTTTTCTTTATTTTATTTTTAGCGCTCTTATCCTTTTCTGCTTCTGATAGGCTATCCTGGCGTTCTGCTAAAGCTCTTTGTCCCTCTCTTACCTTGTCTTGGGTATGGTAGTTAAAACAGAAGCAGAGCACAAGAACTACCACCGCCCAAACAAGGATAGCAATAGCAAAATAGACAGGATCCACCATACCTTGCAGAAAAGCGTCTAGACTTCTCATGCCATCAGTTCTGAACCCTCTGTTGAGCCAACAGGATCCCTCGAAACTGGATAAAACACCGAGACGTTCGGCTTTGTTCCCGGGTTTCGGCACCAGTTGCGGTGCGCTGCCTCGCCGATAAGGAGAACGCCACACTCAGGATTATTCTGACAGCAATTTATTGTACAGCTCATTAGATGGCAGTGAAGCGAGGGACGCCAAGCCCGAAAAACCTGTGGCTTATATAGAGCCCTAGGAGACGTGCCGCACACTCATTGGCTCTCACTACATCGCCAAATTAGCATACTGGTTTTCGCCCCTTGCACAGGCGCACATTCAAGCAAGGCTCTCAAGAAGAACCAGGAAGCAGGAAACCAGCGCCATGTTGCAATGGTGAACGCGGCTCCTAACACCCATGTCTCCTTGTCACCTATGTTGGTCCTACAAGTTCATATCATTGGCTTCCAATAGTTCTTCTGTCTTTCAGGGTCTGAAATTAAAATATACATAAACCTGGGGAATGTCGCCATCTTGAGTGTGACTGTAAACCTCTGCTGAGATGCTCTGGGGCTGCCAGAGATCTTGAAAGAGGCTTTTAATTTTAAAGGAGACTTGGTAGCATCTGTCACATGGACACAGTGCCAATATTACATATTTGGACTGTATGACATAGGAAATTCTTGGCATTGAAGCTAAATAAAACCAGTATCAAGGCAGCATTGCCTCTATTGAAACCATTACCATGGTGGTATGACCTCTACTGAGTAGATAAGTCTGGGAACCTTTGTTAGTTTACCAGGCACTTAGAAAAGTTGACCAGGCCCTTCTGGTCCAGGGCCAGAAGGACAGTGCGGGACACCTGCCAGGAAACAACCCAAGAAAACAAGCTGAGAGGCTCTCTAAGAGGGAAGTCAGTTTCTCTTCAAGGGCCTTCACACTCAGTTTTGCTGAGAATAAACCTTAGGAGAGATTTACTATGGATAGTAGAAATACAATTACGACATTAACCATTTCTGTTACTTATCTGTTTTGTAGGTTCCCATTGAGACTCTTTCGCAGTGGAATGCAAAATACACTTCTTTGAATGAGGCAGGGAGTTTCCTGATTGAAGTCAGCAGTACAGAAATTGCATCATCTGTTTCTAAAGAACTGAGAAGGCTGAATAAAAGATGGAGAAAGTTCATCACAAAAACTCCACTCGTAAGTCCTTGTTTCTGGTAACAGCTTTCTGGGGATATGATATTTGGTCATAAATGTGTAGCTCAATGGCAATTAACAGATTCACAGCTATAGAGCTATCAGAACAGTCAGGCCTTTTTGGAGTGTATGATATCTGTGCAAACCTCTTCATGCATGTAGGCGTGTGTGTGTGTGTGTGTGTGTGTTTTTTCTCATTTGCTGTCCACATTATTTTTGAGACAAGGTCCCTCACTGAACCTGGAGCTCCCCAGTAGGCTAGACTAGCTGGCCAGCAAGCCCCAGTGAGCCTGTCTGTGACTCCTCAGTCCCAGGATTACAGATGTGCACCACACTACCTGCCTCTTGTATGGATGCTGGGAATCTGAGCTCACGCTTGCCTGGCGGTCAGATTTAGAACGTTATCATCATTTCATCAAGAGGATATGCACCTATAGCTTCTGTCAACATTTCTTCTCCAACCTCCCAGCCCTAGATAACTGTCAGTCCATTTTCTTTGTCTATAGATTTTCTATTTGGGGCTTTTCTTGTAACTAGAATCATATGTGCTGTTTCATGACTGGCTTAACGCCCTTGGCACAATGCTTTTAAGGTTCATGCAGACATACTATATAACTGCATTTCATTCCTTTTTATTGGAGAGTAGAAGTCTATTGTCTGAACATGCCAGGTTGTATTTGTTTATCTACCACATGATACACATTTTGGTTCTTCTGGCTGTGTGGGTTATTAGAGCCACTGGAGTTATGAACATATGCATAATTTATTTGGGGTACATATATATTGAAGAGAACGTTTAATGTTTGGGCCTTTTCTAATATATGTCTGCATGTCCTTTACCAAAGCCATAAACATGCTTTACCAATCCAAACTCCTTGAGAGCCTGTACATGATCTGATTTATCTTTACATTAATATTTATCATAAAATAGAATTATAATAAAAAATTTAAAATTATACTTCTACTTATTCATAACAATTTTTTAGATTATTTTGTTTGTTTGTTTGTTTTTTCAAGACAGGGTTTCTCTGTGTAGCCCTGGCTGTCCTGGAACTCACTCTGTAGACCAGGCTAGCCTCGAACTCTTGAACTCAGAAATCCGCCTGCCTCTGCCCCCCAAGTTCTGGGCTTAAAGGCGTGCGCCACCACCGCCCGGCCTTTAGATATTTTTAGTAGACAATTTGTTTGTGTGTTTGTGACGAACTATTTGGATAGCTGATTTTCATACTTGATTTTCCTGCCTCCACCTTCCAAGTGCTGGGATTTCGGATGTGCACCGCCACACCTGGCCATAAATAGACATTTTACAACACTATTGATAACTGATACATCTTAAAAGTATATTTAACTGTATTTTTCCACTTACTATTTTTGATACATGTTATCAAAGAAGTAGAAACATGAGCACAAAACTTACAAAATGAATTTTTCTAGGAGCTGAAACTGCCACTTGTGAAAATTCAGGGCCAGCTCACTGGGGACAGTTCTGGACCGAGCCTGTCTAAGGAGTCAGCTCTGTCAGCAGAGCCTGGTGGGAGCCCTGGTGAAGGCATAAAGGTAAGGCTGGTACACTTGGCCCACGCACAGAGGGATGATGCAGCTTTCTTACTTTTCTTTAGGAAAGGATGGTGAGAACAGTGGGTATGCGTTGCTAGGTAACAGTCACAACACAGTTGATCAAGGACACGCCTCCGTGGGTCCACTCATGAAGTCACCTCATACCTCTCAGCCCGCCCACTCTATGCTTCTATATCAATAAAAGTAGACAGGACTTCGGAATGGTGCCAATCAAGTTTGTATTTTCTTTGGAGGTCTTCTGACTAGTGTTTGAAAATGCTCTATCAGGTGTGGCCAGCCTGCTATCACTTATAGAATTTATCCTCAAGAGCTGGCTGTCGAGTTACCCAGACAGCAAACAGCAAGCCAACCTAATGGTGTAAATCAATTTGCAACTTTGTGCTGGGCCATCTCATAGGTCTTTTCAGCCACGTGCGGCCTGGCAACTTCCAGCGTCGGCTAGCCACCAACCTCTTTTTGTGTTGCTTACTTTGAGGAAAGGAAGAAAGTATAACTAATATTTTTTGTTGTGGTGGACAATTGGAGGACATCAGACTGTAAGTAAGACTATGAAAACGGATCCAAAAATACATGAGTAACAGTAATGCCTATGACTTCAGATATGTGCCACACCCCAAACCGGCTGTATCACCTAAGTGATTTTGAATGCCTTGAATGAATGGAGGGATGGCTCAGGGTTTAAGAGTGCTTGCTGCTCTTGTCTAGTATCCAGGTTCAAGTCCCAGCTACCCACATGATGATCCACAACTGACTGTAACTCCAGTTCCAAGGGATCCAACTGTCTTTTCTACTTCTGCAGGCATCTAACACACACCAGGTATACAAACATACATGCAGGCTGTAACTTCCGGCTTGTCCACCCACGACCCAGTTCCTGAATGGCAACTCAGAGTATTATTATTTATTAATAAATGCCTAGGCCTTAAGCTAGGCGTCTTCTCCAATTAGCTAATAACTCAATTATACTATACTATTTTATACTATATTTATACTCTTCTATGTCTGCCACATAGCTGGTTACCTCTCCTCAGTTTCATACATTCAACTTCCTGCAAGTCCGGATGGCAAATCTCACATCTGACTATTTCCCAGAGTATCTCTCTCTCTCTCTCTCTCTCTCTCTCTCTCTCTCTCTCTCTCTCTCGTTGTCCCACCTTCTAATCCTGTCTCAGCTTATTGGCCATCGGCTTTTTGTTTTGACCAATCGGAAGGTGCTTTAAGCAGGCAAGAGGGACAAAGACACATCTTCACACAGTGCATATAAACATTATCTCTACACAACTAAACACTGATATGCATAAAATAAAAATTGTGAAAGAAAGAAGAATGCCTAATGGGCTGATAGCATAAAGACAGAGCACTTGCTTGTCTGGCATGCAGGAAGCTGAGGGTTCGTCTGTACCACTGCATGAAAAAGAAAGAAGAAAGAAAGAAGGAAAGAAAGAAAGAAAGGAAGAAAGGGAGGGAGGGAGGGAGGGAGGGAAGGGAGGGAGGGAGGGAAGGAAGGAAGGAAGGAAGGAGGGAAGGAAGGAAGGAAGGAAGGAGGGAAGGAAGGAAAGAAAGGAATGTAATCAGAAAATCTGGAAGGATCTCTATGTGACAATCTTTAAAAATATAAGTCTCTGAACCCCTAAAAAGTTCAGATATATACATGTGGGTGCGTGCGTGCGTGCGCACGCATGTGTGTGTGTGTGCACGTGTGTGTTGATTATAAGTTTTCTCTGCATACCTGGCTACACTAGAACTCAGTAAGTAAACCAGGCTGGTGTCAAACTCAGAGAGGCCCTGAGTACTGGGATTAAAGGTGGGCGCCAGTATGCCTGGCTAGAACCAACTTTGAAACTGTTGGTTGTGCAAAGCTACCAGCCTACAGAATACTGAGAAATTGCTAGTGAGAACAGATTTAATTATTTCTGAAATTTTGTCTAAGACTCTTTTATTATTTTAAGGGGGGGGAGGGAGAGGGAGGAAAGGAAAGGGAGGGAGGGAGGGAGAGGGAGGATGATAGAATCTTTCTATGTAGTCCAGCGTGTCCTCAAACTCATAGCCTTAGCCTTTTGATTTAGCCTCCTGAGTGCTGACTACAGACACAAGCGATCATTACTGAGTATTCATTTTTACTTTTTTTCCCTTTGAGACATAGCATTTCTACATAACCCAGGTTGTCCTAGTGATTACAATCCTCCTGCTTCAGAATACTGGACTCCTGGATGCTGAGATTAGAGATGTGTGACCTCGTGCCTGGCTCGGAATCTCTTTTTGATGATATTGTGTAATTACTGTTAGTAATAGCTAAATTTAATTGCATATGCATTTACTCAAGTTCGCTCAGTTTACTTTTCTAAGCCTTAATGTTACTTATAGAATGAGACACTATCAAGCTGTCAGAAATGATATAATTAAAATAACGTGCGTGCTCAATCTTCTCATTTGTAAAGTGATGTGACTTTCATATTATCAGAGGCAAACTAAGGCCTTACATCACAAGTGCACAGTTGCGTGCAGACCAAGTATGCAACAGTAGCTCTAACACAAAGCTTAGATTTCTAGTAGGCTCTACCATCTGGGTCTGTATAAGGATGTTTGCTTTGTGGTGTTCACACAGCGGCAGAAAACCTAATAAATTTCTTACTCATTAGGAATGAGTTAGGAACCTAGTGTGTTTCTCTGTCCTTGTCATTAAGCAAGCACTATGTAGCTTGGTGTTGAATGCCCAGTCTTTAGGATGGTGATATAACAATGTTCTCATATCTCAATGACATCTTCTTAAGTGATCGCTCTGGATGTTCTAGGCTGTGGAACAGCAGGAAGTAGAAGATGAAGAATCAGCTGGACAATTGAAAGTGAATGAAGAGGTTGAAGAACTCATCAAGCAGGTGAAAATCTGGGAGTCAGAAACCAAATCCACCTTGGATCTCCTGCGACATCAAGATGAGGATGGCTCCTCAGAGGACACCTTGCAGGTATGAACGTGAGCATGTTTAAGAGGGGACATTCGTGAAACTCATGCAGGTTTGTGTTTTAAGATAAACAAAAAAATGCTAAAGAGTTATGAGCCTGCATTTAATTACTTTTTATTGGGAAATTTTAAAATGCTCTTCACTTAATATGCTTGGATATGCCTTATATGCGGAAGGTCTTGAGTCATTTTCCTGCCTATAACGTGTGGATTGTAATGTTCTGTATGAGAGGCAGGAAGATGAGTGTAGCAAGTCTTTGGTGGCTAGCTACAATGGGAACATACGGATTATGTAATCTGTGCCTTGAAGGTTCTCCTGTCTAACCAGTCATGTCCCCAGCTCCCGATGGAAGGGTGACTGGCGTGTTTGAACTCCATTCTGCATTCCTCTTCTAGAAGCGATGAATGCAAGTGTATCTATCTCACTGTTACTTGGGATAACTGAGGGAGGATTCTTACTGCGTTCCAGCTGTAACGTCAGGGGAGCATGTCGTAACTGGGGCAAGATCGAAAGTTTACAGAATAAAGGACCCCTTGTGTACTTTTCTACGTCTACATTGCTGGAAAGGCCTATACATAGCTCAACCTGCAACATTTTCATTGTTTATAATGGCCATAACTTAGTAGTTTGAAAAATATTCTTACAAAATAATGTTAAAAGAACTTTATTTGCTAGTTTTATTAATTTCATTTTTTAAAAATTTAGATCATCTGCAATTTGTTTTAGTGAAAGAAATGAAATAGGTATCCAATATTAAACAGATTTTTTTAAAGCATAATTTTAAGTGGTTTTTTTTCTTTAATTACATTCATTTACTTCGTGTGGGGGCACCATGCCACATTGCACATGGAGGCTATCAGAGTAACCGTCAGGAATTGAATCTCTTCTTATGCCATGTGGGTCCCAGGGATTAAACTCAGATCATTAGGCAAGAACCCTTACTAACAGAGCCATCTTGTGGGCCCTAGAGTGTGATTTTCTTGTTTCCATTTGAAATTACTTTGCAACTATTATAAAACCAATAACAATGATCCTTCTTAAAAACAGTAAGAATATAATCATGCTGTAATCACCTCAGTAATTAGAGAGTTAAGTAATCTCTACTGTATCAAAATAATAGATCATATATATTTTATTTATTATTGATTTCTTTATATATATATTTTTTGGGGAGTTGCGTGAGACAGAACTTGTGTAGTTGGCCTGGCCTCAAATGCCTGATCCTTCCTGACTGTACCTCCTGGGTGTAAGAGACCAGCTGAACACCACAATGCCAGGCCAGATGTATTTTAAGATTAGAGAGGCTTCTAGATACTGTGGACGAGCTATGTGTTTAAGAGTTATGCTTTCATACTTTATACATTTATGTCTGTAAGAAGAGAATAACTTCCTCACGTGTCTTAGCCCTGCCTGTACTTAGTCCCTGGCAGAGACACAGAAATTCGTTACAGTCAGTGCTAACGAGTGACTGTGGACTGAGTGAGGAGGCTGGAGAAAGGGACCTTGTCTTCACGCACCACCCCGTCAATTATATGAACTCATTTGTTACTTTTTTTACAATTACAGAAAAGAAAAAAGTCAGAATTAGAAGTGAATGTTCTAATTCCATAAAGATAAAATCACCACTGTTGTGTTACATGGAATCCAGTCACAGCTGCCTGGCGCGCTTGGTTTCCCTGCCTGACTCCTGATTTATCCTCTCTCCTGCTCCTGAGATGCTATTAACTTTTTTTATGCTAACTTGAAGGCTAGAAAGTCATTATTTACATATAAGATTGAGTTATCTTTTACATGCTGTATTAGGGTTCTCTAGAGCCACAGAACCTGTGGGATATCTCTATGTATTAAGGGAAATAATTGCATTGACTAACAGTCTGCAGTCCAACTTACCCAACAGTGGGCAGCTGTGACTATAAAGTCCAAGAAACTAATACTTGCTCAGTCCCAAGAGGCCAGATGTTTCAGCCAGTCTTCTGTATAAGCTGGAATTCGGAAGAAGTAGGTTCAACAGATGTGCTAGCAAGTTAAAGCAAGCAAAACCGAGAACAAACACTTCCCTTTTCAATTGTCCTTATGTAGGCCTCCAGCAGAAGGCATGGCGCAGATTAAAGGGGTGTAGCACCACGCCTAGATTTGGAACTTTCTCTGTCCCAAGCTAGCCTTGAATTTAGAGATCTGCTCGCCTGTGTCTCCTGGGATTAAAGGCATGTTCTACCTTGCCTGGACCTAAGCTTTTCCTGGCCACTATGCCTCAAAATCTGGATTATAGATGTGCCTTCCATTTTTGGATTGTAGTGTTGACAAGCAGGACTAGCTATCACATATGCTTGTTAGACATGTAATTCTGTGTAGTATATGTTCTTTTTTTCAGTTTTCTTTGGGTTTTAACTTTTGTGGGGAGTGTGTGTGTGTGTGTGTGCCTGCATGTGTGTTACTATGGATTGAGCCAAGAGCCTTGAACATCCTAGGCAGGCACCTACAATTGAACTACAGTACCAGCCCTTTTTGTACTTTTTACTTTAAGAAAGGGTCTCACTAGGTTTCACAGACTGGCCATGAAGTCCTTCTGTAACCAAGCAGGCCTGACTTGGTGACCTCCTGCCTCAGCTTCTTGTTTGGTCAGGACTGCAGCCATCAGATTGGGATTTTCGGAATTTTTCTTAATGAATTACATAAGTTCCTTGAACTCTGATCTATTTTCATTCCTGGGGCAAGTATTTTCTTACTAAACCATTGACCTTTTGGTAGCTCGTTTTACAGAGAAAGCATGTACCTTTCTACAGCCATGTTTTCCTCTACCTGTATTCCTGAATACAGCCTGCCTCCAGGCAGCACGTTGATTTTCTTGAAGAATTTGTTCTTCATTGAGAAGAACAATTTTTATGAATCAATTTCTGACCCATCTAGAATTATTTTTGTACACTTTAAAACACAGTTTTAAATAGATTATTTTAGTAGTCGTTTTCTCTAATAACATTTATTAAATCCCCTTCAAGTTTGACTAAGAACAATTTTATTTTTAAAAGTCATTCTCCCAATTTACTTTTAATTGGCATTATATTAGCTCTAGTTTTTATTTTATTGGAATGTTTATAAAGAATATTCTATTTTTTTAAGTGGGTAAGTTTTCTTCTATGATCTTGTTGAAAATATTTTCTGGTCTTTGGAGCTGGGCCTCTTTGCCTTCTTCTATTCCTGTTATTCTTAGGTTAGGTCTTTTCATGGTATCCCAGATTTCCTGGACCTTTTGTGTCAGGAATTTTTTAGGTTTAACATTTTCTTTGATTGACATATCAATTTCTTCGGTTGTATTATCTACACCTGAGATTCTCTCTTCCATCTCCTGTATTCTGTTGGTGATGCTTGTGTCTGTAGTTCTTGTCTTCTTCCCCAGGTTTTCCATCTCCAGTCCCTTGGTCTGTGTTTTCTTTATTGCTTCGATTTCTACTTTCAGGTCTTGCACAGTTTTATTTATTTCCTTCACCTGTTTAATTGTATTTTCCTGTATTTCTTTAAGGGGTTTATCCATTTCCTTTTTAAAGGCCTCTAAAAGTCTTCATGTGGGTGCCCTAAAAAGTGGAGTGGGCTGTCTCGGTCTCTGTTTCCTGCCATTGGATTCCCTTCCCCTACCTGAACTGCCTGGTTGGGCCTCAGTGAGAGAGGATGTGCCCAGTCCTGCTAGGACTGGATGTCCCAGTATGGGTTGGTACCCAAGGGGGGGCTCCCTTCTCTAAGGAGAAGGGGAGGGGCAATCAGGAAAGGGATGTGTAAGGGTAAGACTGGGGAGAGAAGAGGGAAAGAGACTGTGGTCAGGATGTAAAGTGGATAGTAAAAATTCTATAAAAGATCTGGTCAGAATCTCAACATGTTAACATAGTATTTCCAATGTTTTGCTTATTTTAAAATGTTAAGATTATTATTATTATTTTGGTTTTTCAAGACAGGGTTTCTCTGTATAGCTCTGACTGTCCTGGAACTCACTCTGTAGACCAAGCTAGCCTCGAACTCAGAAATCCGCCAGCCTCTGCCTCCCAAGTGCTGGGATTAAAGGCATGTGCCATTATACCTGGCAAGATTTATGTGTCTGTGTGTGTGTGTGCGTGCATGCGTGTGTGCATGTGTGTTTTGTGTGCGTGTGTGTGTGTGTGTGTATCTACGTGTGTACATGTGTGTGCGTGCATCTCTGTGTGGTTTTGAGCACGTGCCTGTGAAGACAGACAAGGGTGTCTTCTTGAAGCTTGAGTTACAGGCAGTTACCAGCCATCTGATGGGTGCTGGGATCTAAACTTGGGTCCTCTGCAAGAGCAGCAAGTGTTCCTTACGTTCGAGCCATTGCTCCAACCCTTGTCTGTCTGTCTGTCTGTCTGTCTGTCTATCTATCTATCTATCTATCTATCTATCTATCTATCTATCTATCTATATTTTGGGGTAGTGTCGATTGTATTTCAGGTTGGCCTCGAACTTGCTGTAAGCTGAGGATGCCCTTGAACTTCTGGTCACAGCTGTGCTTCTGCGCTCCTGATTTTCTATGGTGAACGGAACTCAGCGGCACACACAGAAACAAGCACTATCACAACTGAGCACATCGCTACCTCAAAATGGTTTTAATAAGAACATTTTTTAGAATACAAGTTTACCTCATTCTGGATTAACAGTTACCATTTTCCAATTTCCTGATGTATGCCAGTGTCTGACTTCGAGTCTGAACATTTACGGTAATCTTGGTTTTGTTTTCTAGCATCTTATTGCTAAAGGCTCCATGTATGAGGAACTTCTGGCCAGAACGGAAGATACTTTACAGATGGATGTTCAAAGTGCTTCGAACCGGGAGTCCTTCCAGAGTGTCCTCAGAGCTGGCCTTCAGGCAAAGATTCAAGAAGCTAAGGAGGGAGTTCAGGTCTGTAGTTAATGCTCTTTATTTAATGAATTTATTGCTAAGAACCAAATGGTTGATGGGTGAACCAAGAGTAAGATCTGACCTGAATCTTGGAAGTACTTTATAAAATACTAACTTTACATTATATTTCATTTCCTTATAATGTAGAGCATATTGGAAAAGAGAGATGTTTTCAATTACATACTTATATGGCTGATTATAAAATATAAACTAAAAAAAATTGGAGACACAGGGGTTTAAGTAAGAAGTCAGCCCCGCTGTTAACTTGAGAGGTTTTTTTTTTTTTTTTATGTTTTTCCTTCACAGATCACCATGGTAGAATTGTCTACAGTGTTGAAGAACATAAGTAGTGAGCCACTGAAGCTAGGCGTGAAGCTAAAGGTGGAGGAGGCCCAGAGGGAGCTGCAGTCCTCCATCTCCAGAGCTGAGCAGCTGCTTAGGCAAAGAGGGCGCCCTGGAGGACTCATTTCAAAGTACAAGGTGGGAAGCTTGCCCCAGGGGGAGGAGTTGTCAGCTCTCCATAGGCTTGATGTGTGGATGTTTCCTTCACTGAATTACATGCAGAATTACTGTTAGCTTGAAACGTTTTCCCGGTATTAGATGTTGTTCACCTGAGAGTATTAAAAGTAAATATTCAAGTAAAGACCAGCACAGAGAGCACAGCTGATTCCAGGATCGAGAAGAGCTTAGTTTCTCTTCTCTGGCTTTTGTTTTTTAAGTGTAAAATGAGCATATTAATTCAGTCCAGCCCAGGTACCTGATTTGCTGAGGCTCTAAATGGGGAAAAGGTGCAGAGAAGCCTATTGTTAGTTTAAATTCTGTGAGTATGAGTACTATAATTGAATTCCTTTGAGAAAACTTTCATAATCATATACTTATCTGTAACTTAAAGACCCAGTAGTATAGTATTGTATAGAGAGGGTTTGCTACTTGTGGGGTTATTTACTTATTTTATTAGTTACTAGGTGTGTGCGTGAGTGTGTGTGTGTGTGTGTGTGTGTGCGCCGGATCTATATTATACATAGTATTAAGTTTCATTGTGACATTCTCATACATGAGAATATTTTTCTCAGTCCCTTCACTCCCACTGATCTTTCCTTTTCTCAGCTAGTCCATTCCCCACGTGAGTCTGTAGTGTGTGTGTGCCTCTCTATGTGTAAGTGTGTCTGTCTATGTATATCTCTGCCTATATGTGTGTCTGTCTGTCTCTGTGTCTGTGTGTCTCTCTGTGTGTGTGTGTCAGTGGGAGCCTTGACAACTTGCCAGTAGCATACTCCTGGAATCTCAGAACTCAGGAGGCTGAGGCAGGAGAATCGGGCGTCCCCAGTTATCTTTTACACTATCTAGGAGTTGGAGGCCAGTCCTAGCTACCTAAGATTCAGAAAAGCAAGAGGTCACTCAGTCAATTAGTTGCTAAAACAGATTTCAGAAGGATCCGCATGGGGGCTAGTAAAAAAGAAGAAAAATTGGCTGGGGAGATGGCCCATGGTCCAGAGCACCTGTTTTTGCAGAGGACCTGGATTTGGTTCTCAGAACCCACATTGGGCAGCTTATAACTGCTTGTAATTTCAGTTTCAGGGATCCAATAGCCTCTTCTGGCCTCCACAGACACCTACATGCAGGTGGTCACACAGACAGACAGACAGACAGACAGACAGACAGACAGACAAACACACCTATGCATAAATTTAAAAAAATGAATGAAGAAAAGAGAAGAAAAGTTGAGGTTCCAGAGGAAAGAAGAACATCGGCCTTTGTCCTAGTTTCCTCATTTGAGGCTGGGGATTCTCTGTTTTGGACTGGCGCATTTAGTGAATGAACATTTTCATCACAGAAGTCAGACCAGGCCCTGGTGGGGACTATCCTGACAGCCCTGCACTCCACTGATGGGAAGGTAGTGGACACTCACACCAACAGAGTGGGTTTTCACTTATCAGGGAAGACCGAAAGAAGGGTATTGTGTTTACAGTTGGTGCTTAATAAATGCACATTGTATGAATGAACGAGTCTCTACCCTATTTGATTGCCTTTTCCAGAATCCTTCCTTCTTCTGTGGATTTCCAGCCCTTTTCAGAAACTTTCCAACCTGTTTTTGGTTCTGCCATTCATTGGCTACCTAAGCCAGGTTCCTGCTCTCAGAGAACATGTCAGGGGAGGAGTAGACACAGGTCCAGCAAGTCTGTCCCCAGCTGTTTACTGCAGCTCTTTCTTTGGGGTGGGACTGTCTGTGGACTGGCCTTGGGCAAGACTTTAAGTTGATAATGAGGTAATGAATGGTACTTCCTGGCTACACAACATTGCTCTTGCAGAGTGTTAAATATTTGCCACATAAAATCCTACAGTACAATTTTTGCCTTATTGTATGCTAATTTTATCATTTCAAATACCAAGTAGGTAAAGACCTTTCAATAAAACATAGTTTGTAATCTTTTTGAAAGAAGTCAAGATATGAAAATAGGTCATCAGTCTCAACTTTCTACAAAATATCTCCTGTGTGTATTCGTATCATCACCGTCAACTCCCACTCTGGTCCTTCTTACTCAAGACATACCAAGTTAGCTCACAGGATCTGCCAGTATCGTCAGATTTTCATAAATTCTTTTTCAGGAAGCATTGGAAATTTTTAATACCAATAGTCTGGCCAAGTATCTGCAAGCTGTTGAAGAACTGAAGCGTACTGTCCCAGGTGGTGCAGAGCTGCAGCTGGCAGAACAGAGTCAGGAGGCGAGGGCCCAGTGGGAGGTGAGAGCCTCGGGGCCTTGGGTTATGGCTCTGGTCCTGTGCTTGGTCATCTTCAGAGCCATTCCAAGCTTCCTCTGTCTAGTCTGTGATACCTTTGCATTAGAGGTGCTGGTCCCAGGCTCTGTTTCAACTGGTGTCTGCCTCAGCCAGTGCCTCAGCCACCTTACAGATCTGAGAGCTGCTGGAAGAAGCGGAGTGCCTACGTTGTTTCTTTCTCTGCCTCTCCACAGTGTCTCAGCAGCTGCTTGTCCTCTTCTCCATGATGGGAAACTCATGGCTCTCTCTTCCCTAGGCTCCAGGAAGGCCTCAAGCCCAGGGACAGAGAAGCTTTCTCCTGCTGCTTTTTTGATAGACTAGCTTTTCCTTCTTAGTTTGACTGCTCTAAATTTTCATGCCTGGAGCCATTTAATATCCCCGGAATGAAAAGTCGAGCATGTTCCTGATTTCCTGGATGGATCCTGACTGAGATCCTGAATGAGATAATGAGATCCCGATTGAGTGCACTGTGTCCATTCAGATTTCCCTAGTCACGCAGGGAGAGGCTTCTGTGGAGGTAAAACTGTGACCCTGGGCAGGTTACTAAACTTTTGGAAACCACACTGGCAAAATGAGAATAACACAATTTAATTGGCAGGTTATTACAAAGATTTACATAGGCCATAGAGGATATGTTCAATCAATGGTAATTATATTATGAATGTAGCTGTATGTGTCTGATGAGTATAGTCAGTTCTCTGTATCTTTGGATTCTGTGTCTATGCATTCAACCAACTGTGGGTCCAAATTGTTTGAAAAAAAAGACTTGTATCTACTCTGAAGGTGTATGGCCTTGTCCCCAACCCCATCCATGATTCATTAAACAATATAATATACCAGCTATTTGCATAACATTATATTATGCTAAGCATTATATAAAATCTAGAAATAACTTGCAGTGTATTGGAGATCGTGTGTAGATAATATGACACTTTTCTTTTTTTTTCTTTATTTTTTTGTTTTTTGAGACAGGGTTTCTCTCTGAGTCCTGGCTGTCCTGGAACTCACTCTGTAGACCAGGCTGACCTCGAACTCAGAAATCTGCCTGCCTCTGCCTCCCAAGTGCTGGGATTAAACACGTGTGCCACCACAGCCCGGCTATAACATGGCACTTTACAAAAAGGACTGAAGTGTCCTCAGATTTTAGTATCTCCAGTGGGAAGGGGGTTCTGGATTAAGGGATGTCTATATAATTAGATTAAAATCTATTAATGATTTTCTGGACAAACTTATTTTTGTTTTTTAGACAGCGTCTCATCTGTAGCCGTGGTTGTCTTGGAATTCACTAGGCTAGCATTGAACTCACAGATATCCACCTGCGTCTGCCTCTCAAGTGCTGGGATTTTGAATGGGCTCTTATTTTAGAGCAGTTTTCACTTCAAAGAATCAGTGCAGACACAGCTCCGAGAGTTCTAGTGAAGGAATCTGTCCTAGTGAGTGAGCCAATAAGGGGGCGTTATATTGACTAAAGCTTGTGCATCCTCAGATTCGCACTGACCCCTGGAATGCTTTTTGTCTGCCCCAGGACACCATCCAGGACCCAGATTTCATATGTTTGTCATGTCTCCTTAGCTTAGCTGTCTTTTTAATGTCTAGTCTCCCCAGATTGTAGCTTTTATTTCATTTTCTCGACAGCATCTTTCACAGTTTAAAGCATATTTTTTTTAATTGTTAGAAAGAAAAAGAAATAGGTCTATGGATCTGGGATGTTTTAAACACTCTTCCCAGGGATAAAGAGGGTGAATGAGCAGGTCGTGTGGGCTTTGCTTCCTTCCTGTTGTTTCCATGGCTGTTTTGTTGTAACTGGAAAGAGAGTCAGTGTGTTGTGTCCTCTTGTGATTAATACACTCCTTCATCCTTTGCAGCCTCTCCATCACGAAATTTCTTTGTATCTCCGACAACTAAAAATAGACATCGAAGAAGGAAAGCTTAAAGACAATATTGCAAAACTTGAAAAGCAAATAAATAAAGAAAAGAAGCTTATCCGTAGAGGGAGGACCAGGGGCCTCCGCAAGGAACACGAGGTAAAGCCACTCGGGCCCACTGCTGTTTGTCTTCGTGTTGGCTGGGTAACCACAGTGTAAGCTCACGGCCTCCGATTGGCTGTACTGTGGAAATCTCTTGAGCCTGTTTACTTCCCTGGGCTTGTCACTCAGTCTGGCTCTAACTGAATCCTGTGCTTTTACCCCGTCAGAAGTGAGACATCTCAGCCAGGAGTGTTTGTTCCACGTTTCGATCATGATGGTTGGGTGCTGCCTGCTCCTGAGACTGCTCGTAGCTGTCTCAACTACTGCTGCAGTACAGATAGTTTTATAGGGACACTGGGTCACCAAAAGAGCTTTTGTAAAAACGAGCGAATCGGGTCATGCAGGACTTGGGGGTTGTCTGATGATTTCTTTTCATCTCCAGCCTATTTGACTGGGTTTGTGTGGTTGACAGGGCTTAGTCATTTCATCTTAACTGTCAGTTTCTGTGGCTCTCACTATGTTACTCTTGCTTGCACAGATACCTATTTTATATATATATATACATATATATATATATATATATATATATATATGTATATATATGTATATGTATGTATATATATATACACATATATATGTATATATGTGTGTGTGTCTATATATACACACATATAGAAGATATATCTGTAACACACACTCACACACATAGAGCATGAAAGAGAGAGAGCGCGCTACATTTTTACTATCCTTTACAAATTTTCCCATTTTCATTACTTTTCCTTAATGTTTTAGTTTTCGGAAGGGACACTCTACAGTTTTCAGTACTTGTATCCATCCTAACTATGCAATTTTATAAGACTATTTGTCTGTTTATGGCTGTGTCCAAGTCTTTCTCTGGCAAAACCCCCCCCCCCCATGTCTACAGTCTGTTCCTGACTGGTGGGCATCACAAGTGTTCATTTTAGATTCCTGTGTCTGGAATGGAACCAGTAACATCACCTCTCAAACTTTGCTCCCTCCTCTCCTCATCACCAGGCCATGCTGTCTCCACGATCTTCTCCTTCCTCCCTCCCCCCACCCCCGCCAGATGTAACCGAGTTACTGAAGGCCAATTCCATAAGCACAGCAGTTTCTTCTCTTCCATCCACTGTGCTGCCCCTTCTCTTATTCTGTTAGGAAGAAAATGGCTTCATCATCTTTCACCACAACAGTTTGCTGGTTTGCCGAGTAGGGGACAGTACTGAGAATTGAAGTCAAAAGTGTCATGTACATAAGACAGACCCTCTAGCAACTCAGAGATATCCCCAGGCCCCAGGACTGACCTTTCGAAGCCCAGATCTCATTTTACTGCCTCCCAGTGGTAACCCTCTCCCCTCTCCAAGGATGGCCCTAAGATCTTCAGAAGGATCCAGGACATCCCTTCAGTGTCTCTCTCCTAGACTGGGCACTCCAACAGCAGCAGGGACCTGTGCCCTCAGAACCTTTTACTACCTGTCATCTTCCGTCACTGGTGGAGATGACTTCTCTGTGATGACTGTGTCAATTGTCAGCTTGACAGAAGCTGAGTTACCTGGGAGATGGATCTCTGGGCATGCCTGTGGGGGGTCATCTTGATTGACAGATGTATAGGGCTATCCTTAGGCAGGGGGATCCTAGACTGTGTTAGGTGTAGGAAGTGAGCTCAGTGCTAGCTTGCAGTCATCTTTCTGTTTCCTGGTCATGGGAGCAACGTGACCAGCTGCCTCTAGCTCCCACTTCCCGACCTTCCTGCTATGGTGGGCTACGTTCGGAACCATGAGATAAACTAAACCCTTCCTCCTTAAGTTGCTTTCGTCAGGATGTTTGGCTATATCCACAGGAAGAGAATCTAAGACAATCCTCCAGTCACCCTTAGAGAACTCCTCGTCCCTTCCACATCCAGCTCGGATGGCTCCCTCTGTGAAGCAGGCAGGTGGCGGTGTTCTCATAACGTCATGATGTTACAGACCATTACTTGCATGTCAGTTACTGAAATGGGACTCTTTCAGGGCCGACTTCCTCATTGCTTTTCCCTAATCCCTGTAACCATACTCAATGCATAGCAGACAGTTCATAAACCCTGACCATACTCAACACATAGCAGACGGTCCATAAAAGAGCATGCTGTCAGAGTCACGCACACAGCGGGAGTTTCCGGTCATATGCCCTCAGCTGAAGCCCAGCTTTCTTCCTTCCCTCAGGTTTGCTTTTCTCCGGAAAGCATCGAGTGCCAGCTGGAACACCATGTGGGTGTCTTGAGGGTGCTGTGTGAGGAGCTGACATCACCAGAGGATCAGCAAAAATTGAAGGAAGCTCTCCGAGGCTATGAACAAAAGATAGAGAGACTTCTGAAATGTGCTTCTGAGATTCACACCACCCTGCAGTCCTCCCAGGAAGGTGCACTGAAGGAGAGGTTAGTGCTTTGTAAGAAGAGCCACGCTCCAGAGCAAAGCCAGAAAAAGCTGTTTACACAACCAAATGACATTTGGATGATCATGGTTTTGAGGTTCTACGTTCCCCCTATTCTATCTTAATATCCAGTCATGCTTCCTTCCTAGGGGTGCCTTGATCACAACTGAGAACGGCAGAAGGGATGCACACGGCGAGGCACCGCCTGAGGTACCAGATAACCAGCTGCCAACTGAGAAGGTGTTAAATCCGGGTGATCTAGTTCACAAATAGTCTCAATATAGGTTAAGTGGGCAAGCATCTGGTTCTCATGAGCATCGGTCTAGTATCTGATTGTCATCATCAGTTAAGATTTCCCACCTTATGAAACGCAAGGCAGGCCACTTCTCAAAGAGTTAGAATGATGGCAACCAAAGCTATGGTGTGCCTAGCAATCTACTGAGAGTGTCCCAGTGGCTCCCAGCGAATCCTGAAGACAAATTGTGTCTGCTGCTGTTGAGGTCAGTGAGGCTGACTTCGGTCTTCACAGACAGCCCAATATGTTGAGATGAATGGGCTCATTTGGCTTCTTGGTAGGATGAATTTTGTTTCCCTTGCAGATTGGATTTACCAGATTGCTGAAGGTAGAGAGGCTGGCATTTGCCGTATATCACAGTGTGGGTGCCAGCCAGCAGATTTTTTTTTTTTTGGAAAGGGATGAGAAACTTGTGTTGAGGGTTTTCACCTTTGACTGAGCCTGTGAGGTCTGATGCAGAGTCAAGCACTGGCGCCTGACCGTGTCCCTTGATCAATTAGAAGGCCACAGTCAGCCCAATAGATGTCTGTGAGGAATTTTGCTGTGAGGAGAGGCATCTCAAGGACTTCTATTCTTTCCTGATTTTGGATATAAAGAACCATCCCTGAGCATAAAACATTTAAGTTTTATAGATATGTAAATATGTTTAAGTAATTGTCTTTACTATTTTGCATATTTGCTTAGGTAATGGAACCCATTAAGAATTTTAGTCAGACATCAGAATTAAAGCCTCAGCAAGAAGAAAACGTTATGGAGAAGGAAGGAAAGGATTGCAGCGTCTCCCTAAATGAGTTACAGGACAGGTAACTTCCTTTTAAACAGTGAGGTCCGCTGAAAATTCTTCATCAGTGACTGCATATGATGTATATACCTGTTCATGCATATGTGATATGTATCATACGTGATATAGCATATATGTCATATATGTGGCATATACATTTATATATGTGATATGTGCACACAATATGTTACATATGTACATTTCTATATACGATATTTATATGTACACACATACGCACAATATGCGTGTATTTATACACACATGCACACTTACTTGTAGATGCATGTGTGCTTGGTGGCAGTTCCCTTCAACTACTAAACCATCTTGATACCCCTTCCTTTTACAAAAGTTTATTTATTCATTTGTGATGTGGGTGCATTGGTGGGTGCAGGTGTGTGGAAACAGAGGACAGCTTATAGGAGTCCTTCCACCATATGGGTCCCAGGAATCAGAGTCAAGTCATCAGGCTTAGCAGCAGGTGCCCTTACCCACTGAGCCATCTTACCTGTCCACGTTATGTATTTTTAAGACTTATTATTCTTTAGTTTTAATTTTGGCATGTGACTCATTTAAGCAAAAATTCCTTGGACATTTCTGCATGCAAAATTGATAGTAATTTAAAAAATATTTCTATCTTACTTTAAAATTAAGTTTTAAATTTTAAAAATTTTAATGTTTTGAATTTATTTATTTATTTATTTATTTATTGTTTAACAAACAAGAAGTGGGCTTTACGGTGACATTTCATACAAATGCGTACATACATATCTCATTATTCTTTGCCCTGCCCTCACTACCCCTTCCCTCTACAAAGTCATGTTACACTTAATTTTCTCCCAGGTATGACATACAAAGGGAGATTCTTGAGCAACACCTGCAAGACAGCAAATCCACGATCGCATCTGACTTTCCCAGTGAGAGTGAGAGGAGCAGTGCCTGCCTGCAGGCTAAGCTGACAGATCTGCAGGTAACTCTGAGCGCCTTTCCTCACTGAGCAGATTACACTCCAGAAATACAGCTGTGGTGGTTTGTGGAGGTCATGTGTGTAAGATGTCTCATTGTTAGACGGCATTTCTCATGTTTCTCTTGCCTGGATTTGCTTTCAAAAGCCAGGACAGACTTTCAGGGTCTTCATTTATTGTTTTGTGGTATAATTTTCAGTGTCCTTCCATCTCCTGCAGGGTCCTCCCATCTCCTGCAGGGTCCTCCCATCTCCTACAGGATCCTCCCATCTCCTGCAGGGTCCTCCCACTTCCTGCAGGGTCCTCCCATCTCCTGCAGGGTCCTCCTATCTCCTGCAGGATCCTCCTACTTCCTGCATGGTCCTCCCACTTCCTGCAGGGTCCTCCTACTTCCTGCAGGGTCCTCCCATCTCCTGCAGGGTCCTCCCTTCCTGCAGGGTCTTCCCACTTTTTGCAGGGTCCTCCCATCTCCTGCAGGATCCTCCCACTTCCTGCAGGGTCCTTCCATCTCCTGTAGGGTCCTCCCACTTCCTTCAGGATCCTCCCATTTTCTGCAGGGTCCTCCCACTTCCTGCAGGGTCCTTCCCCACTTCCTTCAGTGTCCTCCCATTTTCTACAGTGTCTTCCTACTTTCTCTAGAGTCCTCCCACTTCCTCCAGGCTCCTCCCACTTCCTACAGTGTCCCCCTACTTCCTGTATTATCTTCCCACTCAATTCAGTGTCCCCACCTACTTCCTACAGCCTCTTCCTGCTTCCTGGTTTCCTTCTGTTTAGTAAGCAGCTCCCAGCCACACCTGCCATCTGGCTCCTCTGTTTTTCATGAAGTGGGCCAAACCCATCAGATCTTTGATGGATAAGCATGTTTTTAGCATGGTTAAGACATTGTCTTGAGACTTCCCAGTGACTGAATAATGAGTTGATTGGAAATGTACATCTGGCTCCAGAAAAGTGAACAAGTGAGCCTGTTGATCCTTCAGCAGGATTCTCAAAGGAACCTTAAAAAGAGGGCAGGAGGGAGAGCTCAGGGGTCACGGACACACACTGCTCTTGTAGAGGATGCAAGTCCTGTTCTCAGCATCCAGGTCAGGGGGACTCATTACCTTCTGTAATTCCCGCTCCAAGTGATCTGACATCGTACTCTCCCCCCTTCCCCCGTCTCTCTCTGTCTCTGTCTCTGTCTGTGTGTGTCTCTCTCTCTCTCTCTCTCTCTCTCTCTCTCTCTCTCTCTCTCTCT